CCTTCTCACAGGGTCATATGAGGCTGTCCCGGAGAGGCTGGGCAGGACTACATGAATTAATACCGGTTTTTCAAGAATTGGCACATAGATGCCACGTAGTCCCCAAAGCAAGAAGCCACTGTGAGGTCAGAAACCCTTTTCATCACAGGGCCAGCCAGTGACTCACCTGGGAGAGTGTGGTGCTGATGACACCAAGGCCACGAGTTCGGAACCCTATATAGGGATGGCCAGTTAGCTCACTTGAGAAAGCGTGGTGCTGACAACACCAAGTCAAGGGTTAAAATCCCCTTACCGGTCATCTTTAAAAAAAAAAACCTTTTCATCATCAAGATTGGTCTCCAGGTGGTCTTTGACATCTCCACCCACGTTCAGGTCAGCCAAGTCCACCAGCGCCTTCCGTGGCCATTAACCCGACCCTTCCTCAGGGCCAGGACAGCTCTACATGTGGCAAGCTTGACAACCTTTGTTCCTTCTAATGACTCAGACAATGTAGAACAAGGGAAAAGGGGTAATTGAAGGAAAAGGAGCACTTGAACAGGCTGATGGCAGGACCAACCTCCGCTCCAAATCTGGTTCTTGCATTGCATATCTGTGTGTCTGTCTCCCTTGGACAATTTACCTGACTTCGCATCCTTTTACGCATCTATATAATGAGGTGACTTCTCCTCTGCAGGACTGTGTGAGAGAATTGATGGGGCCTAGTTCCAGTGCCAGGTACATGGGTTCTTTCCACCTCACTTCTCGGTCAGGATATTACAGGTAAAGAAACAGCAAAGAACTAGTTCCTTTTTTCTTTTTTATAGTAAATATGTCTAAATGACTGTTCTTTTTTGCTGCTGCCAGAGTTTGTTGCAAAGTATTCAGAACTGAAACAGCAGAGTAAAAACCATTTTCATTACATTTTAAGAGAGGTGAGTGCAGGGGCACTAAAGACCTTTAAAGAAACATACTGAAAGAGGGTTGAGATACTAATGCGTGTGCACAGAAAATCACCCACTGGCTGTGATCATTTCTTTAAGGCCAACCTGGCACCAAAATGCCCTGTGCAGTGAGTCACCACGAACAGTGGGCTATAGTTAGATTATCTATGGTGATGCAAAAAAGCAAATCCCAGGCAGTGGTAAATCTAAGAAATTCTATTTGGGCTCTGGAATGCATTTTATATGTATTATTTTTTTTCCTTGCCAGGAGACTTACCTTAATTATGTTTCCCGTAGGTTATTATTAAAATTAGTCTACATTCCCCAACCACACACCACTGACAGCTGGGGTAAGACAGCCATAAGTGACAGGATAAGGAAGGTATACCTGAGATTAAGTGTATGAAAATACACAATGAATGCATGAATCTCTGTGTGTAGGTCTGTGTACACACATACACACACACCCACACACACAGGTCTCCTAATCCTACCATGCAACAAACACAAGCATTAGGAATAACATATAGTGGCAAGGAAATTGTTGCAAAAGGCTTCCCCAAAGACCAGACAACAAGATCATAAAACCCTTCTCAGGTCATCACACATGTACCTTGATCTTTACTCTTTAAGCACACTTGACATGTTTCATCAACTTTTACCTGGTAAGACTGATGCATGGCATGAGGGGTGACAATCAGCTTTGTATCTCATGAATATTCATAACAAAAAAAGACTGACGCATGAAGATCTTTTTCTTTCCAACAACCCTGTGCTTTCTTTTTTGAATTCCTAACATTTCCTTAAGAAATTTTGAAAGTAGAGTGAAATGTGCCTTTAATTCCACATGTGGACACTTGAAAAGTGGATTTCTGTAGATTTTACGAATGAATGTGAGCTCAGAAGTCTCTTTAAACACTGATCCACGAAAATTCAACTCTACATGAAAATGAATTTGGAACTATTTGCATATTCTAATGAATCCTCGGCCCCTGGACAGATAATTCATTCAGTCACCAAGATCTAGTTACACATTTTCCTAATACTCTCATCTCCAACCTGTGTGGTGGTTGAGGCTGCTTCAGGGCGTCTGGGCTTGAGAAAGCATTAAGAGTACTTTATTCTAATAAAATATGAGTAAATTCCAGGTCACAACATCTCCTTCTTCACTAGCGATGATATGAAAACAAACTACCACAAATGGATCTTAACACAGAGAACATCCTAACTGTATGCTCTAGTCTTATAGAACTATGATGCCAAACTGCTCCTCGTTCTATTTAATGTTTATATAAAAAGTACCTGGATTAATCTGGGTCAAAATGCAGTAAAAATCAAAATGTGGTACCACTGAGAAACTGTGACTTTAGAATAAGAATCCTAAACTTAGTTCGTTATGGATCTGTATATTTAGGTGTTCCAACTCTCAATATTTTTTGAACTAACCTAAAGAAATAGGGCATTATGAGCATGAAATGTTACCTTTGACATGAAAAAATCTTTATATTTGCTTGTATATACATAAAGAAACTTTGGAAAAAGACATACTAGTAACTTTACTTGGGGTATGGGGGTAGCTGGAGAGATGGATGCAGAAATGGGAGGGAAACTCACTCAATAACTGTTTTGGTTTTGTAAACTCCATCAACATATTACTTAATTAAAAACTCAAGCAGCCAGGTAAATATTACATGGCCTTTGCCTCACTGATGGACTTGAACTCCTGTTACCGTATGTAATCTTTCAGATATTTTTCACGCATAAAAGATTTTTTAGAGGAATTGAGTTAAAAAGTAGAAACTTAATTTGTAAAGGGTATCATGGAATGCAGTTATATTTCTCCCACTAAGTTCCAAGTTGGAAGAATTTTCTGAGTACTTTTCTGTTATTTCAAAAAAGGCAGAAACTTGTATTTTGTACTTTGGCATTTGCTTAACAGTGAAATTGCTCACACAGACATGCATGTGTGCACGCCTCCTCTAGTAGATACTGTTATTAACTTACTACCTTTTAGCTGTGTAAACAAACATATTGTTAACATAAAAGGGGAAGGAGAATTTTGTGTAGCACCATCTACACCTATTTTTATTTTTGTTCTATAATCACAAATGACATGACAATTTTTTTTTTTTTTCTTTTTTCATGACCGGCAACGGATCGCAACCCTCAGTGTCACGCCCGTACCGGA